CTTTTGGTTATATCTCATGCAGATCTGAGTCCTGTAATCTAATTTGTGCAGATGGGAGTCTCACTGTCTTCAGTAGACTCCATGCATGCAAGATTGCAGGATCGGAGGCCTAAATCATAAGGCATCCAGGTCATGGGACTGTTTTTTAACATTATTTTTGAAGGGTTAAGTGCATCTCTCGTATATGATGTAAATAAATCAGAATCAGCAAAACTCACCTGGAAATGCATCTTTGTGGTTTTCTGTAACTTTTGCCCCTTTCACAAAATTGCTCCCCTGGTTGTCAAAACTTTCTATGGGTCCTCTTTTGTTTTGGTGTGGGAAAGCATTTCACTTGTTTAGTCTCCCCTATTGACTAAATTCTGGCCAGCTAACATGGTTGTAGATGCGCTATAGATTGCATCTTGATTGGGGGGGTAGGTTCAGTCATTTTGAGTTAATGTGATTGAAACCCCCCCTCTCCCCTTTTTAGCCTCAAGGGAAGGCCATGAAGTTGACTAGTTGCACACTGGTGTCTTCTTATCTGCTGACTAAGGTCCTGTCTCGACTTACCTGCACTGTTGATCTACTTCAGATGTGCAAATAGCGTAGCAGCGTCAGCAGATGAGATCTTGGCGGGTGGATTATTCGCTGCCATGTTGATCCACTGCGAAGTGTAGACAAGGGCAGAGTCTTTGCCTCCTTTTTACTAGGGAGTGGGGGTGGGAGAATCATTTTTCATTTGTGTTCTCTCTCCAAACTACTTGAATTACTTATTTTTTTAAAAAGTTGGTCTTAAAACCTTCCTGTTCATTGTGCTATAACATCCCAAAACCCATTTCAAATGTCCCTTTCCTACCTTACCTCTCCTAATCTTCTGTTTTCTGCTCACAGTAGCTAGTAGAGCTGATCAAATCATTTATTTGATGAATTTCACCATTTTTTCACCCGATAAACTAGGCTGGTATTTCTCTTTGTTCACTCAGTTTGTAGAGCTGGATGAATAATAAATATCTGACTATAGAAAGTCCTAATATTGGAATAGTTTTTATGATTTGCTCGTTCTTATAATTAGACTGCCAGACTGTATACTTGTTGTCTTGTTTGTTGTAACTATTTTGCCTTTTTGGCTGTAGTTTTGGGTACCCAGAATAATAAAATTTTAGGCACCAAAGTTCTAGTTAATACTAAACAGTTCCGGAAAAGAGACGAAACATCATATTTAGGCTTTGAGTTTATTTTTAACAATTAGGTGTTAGGATGAGACTATCATAGGGATTAGTTTACCCCGAGGTACCTATAGTGGGGCGTTTTGCCTCGGAGTAAATGACATACAGTACTTGATCAGACACATTGCCCCTTGTAGTCCACTATCCCATGTTCCTATAAGCAGCTATGTGTGGTTTTAGTCAGGAAGTTCTCCTCTCTACCATGGTACAGCACCGCATAAATGCTGAGATGCTGTACACGTATTTATTTTTCTTGGCTATCTGGGACAGCCCTCATGAAAGTGATTTTTTTATGTTTACATTTTTAGGGTTTTTTTCCTTGCTTGCTCCCATACGCTCTGTTTTGTTTTCCATCAGAGTCCCAATAATCAGTGGAATGTTCATTCTTCCATGGGTCGTGCCATTTCAGAATGACACAGTCAAACGTTCTGATTCACTAAAATCTACAGCTATCGAAAGCTCATCATCTAATAAACCATCTTGTTAGTCTTTAAAGTGCTACATAGTCCTCTATTTTGCTCAAAGCACCCCTAAGCACCGTGTATATTCTATTGGAACTTTCCCTCGTCAAAGAACCACCACCACATTCAAGCATCACGGTGGCTTGAAAAACATTCTTCCTTCTCTTTAGCTATCAAGTAACTTCTGATGTTTTATTCTGGGGTGGATTGATTTAAATCAAAGCAGTTTAAAAAGCCAAGTAGAAATCCTCAATTTAAAATCATCAATTTTAAGCAACATTTCCATTTGTACATTTATTTTCTCAAGAAAGGTGCATTCTTATTGATTGATATAACCATGAAAACATGTTGATTTACAACTAACTAGAACCTTTATTTTTTAGTACATGCCTAGGAGGATATACTAGACTTGTATATGTTTCTTTAGATAATTGTATAGTTTGCTATTTTCCGATTTTTATTAATTGTCATTTTCAGTATGTTTGAAAATGGTGAGTGATATGTTGTATATTTACTAGAACATTTTTTGCTCATGTTTTGTGTCAAGTTGCATTGGCGGGTAACTGGAATTTTAAACACACAGCAACATATACAAATTATTTTATTAAAACAGCTTTGAACATTTTGAATACACACATTTTCTCTGATCAAAACATGTTCCACATTTACAATCAAATTATCAGTTCAGGCTGGTAGAGGATTATATTCACATTTCAACAGTTTTGTTTTTAAAAAGAAAGCCTTATTCTAATTTAAATACAACCAGGCAGCCAATGTAAATACAAAATGTTTTAAAATTAAAAAACAAATTTAACTTCCACTTTCTTCCTTAGAAGAGCACACATATTATACATTACGTTATGGAGAGCAGATCATTCTGAAATGACTTTGAAAAGTGATGGGTAAAACTTCACTTCAACAACTAACATGAGGCAACTTATGTAGGAAAAAGTGGTATTCAGCCGCATCCAAAGCCTAATCTAATTAGGATGAATTTATTTAATAATATAAAGATAGGATAACACATGAATGATTTGTAATGAAAAGCCACCGATGTATGAACGATATATGTTGTCACTGTAGATGAAAACATAGGATTCTGTTGTGGCAAAGAACTAACCCAACAATCTTGGCTCATAAGAGACCCTGGTTTGTTTGGGTTTTCTTTATTTAGAGTAAACTTGTTGAGCTTCTCCTGATGCTAAAACTCTTCTTCCTAATCAGTCTTCCTTCCTAATTCCCACACAACCAAGGTGTTGCACTATCCTTGGATTCTTGGGAATCCTTACTGGGTGCTCCAACAGAATAAACACAAAGCGCCTCACTGCCGTTTTGGGTGAAGAGAGGCAGGAGAGAAACAAGTCCCTGTTTAACGCTGTGACTTTGTCAATGCTCAGGCAGGAGAAATCGCGGTGGGAAGTCCTCCAGCAGGAGCAGCGGCTGATGGAAGAGAAGAATAAACGCAAGAAGGCGCTCCTGGCCAAAGCCATCGCTGAAAGGTGACGAGGCCGTCCTCTGCAGTAAAGGTTCTGTGTTTTTGTGTGCGCAGATGAGCGATGTTATGCGAGATTCACATTTTATTCCAAACGGTGTGGTGGCTAAGGCGCACTTTTTATGTGGGTTGCATTTCTGTAGCTCCTTCTGCAGGTTGATAATTCCAGTTATAGACAGATCGACAGAGCGACTCTGTTCCTGAGCACATGCCTTGGCACTCAAACATAAGAACAGCATACTGGGTCAGACCACTCAGTTCTATCCAGCCCAGTATCCTGTCCTTCGACAATGGCCAATGCCAGATGCCCCAGAGGGAGTCAACACAGCAGGTAATCATCACATGATCCCTTTCCTGTCATCCATTTCCAGACAAACAGAGAGTAGGAACACCATCCCTACCCATCCTAGCTAATAGCCATCGATGGACCTAACCTCCATGAATTTATCTAGCTCTTTTTGAACCCCGTTACAGTCCTAGTCTTCCCAGCATCCTCTGGCAAGGAGTTCCACAGGTTGGTTGTGCACTGAGTGAAGAAAAACTTCCTTTTGTTAGTTTTAAACCTGCTACCTATTAATTTCATTTGGTGACCCCCTACTTCTTATATTGAGGGAACAAGTTAATAACTTTTCCTTATTCACTTTTTCTACACCGGTCATGATTTTATAGACCTCTATCATTTCCCTTCTTAGTCTCCTCTTTTCTAAGATGAGCACCACTTCATTTAGTGATGTTCTGTGTTGTGTTTAGAGCTGTACTACAGGGTTCTAGTCCCAGCTATGCCAGTGACTTGCTATTAGGGATGTTAATGGCAGGGAGATTAGCAAATGTGTTTTTTGGTAAATGTGTAACTGCTGAATTTTTCAGCAGTTACATGTTTACACATAGGGGGGCAGGCAGAAGCTGCTACACATGGGAAGCCGGCTTGAAAGCTGTCTCCCTGCGCACACGCATTCCCTCCCCCCCCACTCTGCTCCCTCTCTTTAGTCTGACCCAGTGTGGCCGTTCTTATGTTCTCACGGTTATGTAGGGCTTTAAACCTTTCACATTTGATGTGAATCTTTTCATTGACTTCATTGGGCTTTGGACCAGGCCTATGGAGAGTAATCCTTCAAAATGGAAATAACACGTTTGGTTTAGTTGACTCAGTCTCTCTTTGGCTCCTGCTATTTGGGATTCTTTCACTTGCAGGACTGAATCCCCTCTGCTTTTCTAGCAATTTCCTATGTCCTTACCCTTCGAAGTATTTAGTTAGGCTGTGTCTAGACTGCATCCCTATTTCGGAAGAGTTATGTAAATTAGACCTATCGAAATTGCAAATGAAGCCAGGATTTGAATTTTCCGTGCTTCATTTGCATAATCTCGTCACGGCGTTTTTTTGAAAAATGCTGTTTCGAAACTTAAACCACGGTCTAGAGGCAGTTCTTTCGGAAAGCTACGCCTTTTTCGAATGATCCTGTAAACCTTATTTTTTGAAAAAACCGCCGTGACTTGATTATGCAAATGAAGCACGGGAAATTCAAATCCCGGCTTCGTTTGCAATTTCGATATGTCTAATTTACAGCCCTCTTTCGAAAAAGGGATGTAGTTTAGACGTATCCCTACAGAGAGTGAGTTCCCGAGTGAAGGAGTACAATCCATTTTAGGCACTCTGTTTGCAGTAATGTAATGATGTACTTTTGATTCACTGTTTATAGCAGACACTTTAGATCCCCATAGAAAAAAGATCAAGAGTCTTAAAGTTTGCAATAGAAACCTTTGAGCAGCTACGGATGAGCTGGTGGACCTGTAAGTGCAACACAATGTGTGTCTTGCGTCGAATGCACATAAAGCGGGAATTCACATTGTGTTTTTTCAGATCCAAAAGAACTCAGGCTGAAACAGTGAAACTAAAGCGGATTCAAAAAGAGCTGCAGGCTCTGGATGATATGGTGTCTGCTGACATTGGGATCTTAAGGAACCGAATCGACCAGGCCAGCATGGACTATTCATACGCTCGGTAAGCAAGTAACAGATAGAGCAGCTAGTACTCTTGGGAAAATGTTGGGAGAAAGTGCAATTTTCTTTCACTGAAGAAAGGCTGATGGGAGTCATGTCATGTCATGTTAGTCAGTCATATGCATTAAATGGCATTCAGGTGCATTTAATGAATTTCAGTATACGGTGGTTTTTCTTTAGGTCATAGCAGCCTAGAGAAGCTTGCGACTGAAATAAGTTTCCTGACTGAAAACTTCACTTGCCGCCACCTCCTCCTTCCCCCCTTTCATCATGCGTGTGTGCTGGTCCATTACGGTACAACCATGACACTGTTGCAGGGGATTTAGTTGCTGGCTGTTTTTCATGGGAGAGAGGGGGAAACAGCTTTAAAAAAGGAATCAGACACATGTAATGTGTTATATCAACTCTGCCAAAACAATTCCTGAGCACCTTAATTCAGGACAGCACTTAAGTTCTGTTGAAATCTGTGGGAGTTGCATATATGCCGAAAGCTAAGCTATGTACTTAAGTGGTTTTTTGAGTTGGGACCAAATGTAGATCAATTTCAGTCTTCCAAGAGTCTTGATGTCCCTTTAGTCATTTGAGGATTTTTAAAATTATTTTTACAAAGTCGTACAACTCCAATTAACTTTTCATGTTGAAGGATGCTACAAAAGGGAATTGAAGTGCCTCATTAGTACAGGGTAAACCACAATATGGGTATGTAAATGTAAGCATGTTTATATAGCCATTTCATGAAATGGAAATATTTGGTTGTGGTTTTTAGTTCACTGTTTAGTGTGTGGAAGTTGTAGTTTTCCTTGTGACTTTTGCTATACATTGATCACAGGCCAATAAACATGGCACTTAGCTTTTTAAGTGAATATTAGTGGTACCTAAGATCTGAGGATGGCTATTGACTAATTGTCATTTAAAATCGCAGGGACTAGCTGACGTCTAGTTCCACTATTTTAGGATATTTTGGAAAATCTAACTTTTTCAGATTGACATCACAGAAGATTTTTCAGTGTCCGTGTTTTTGTAGGGTTGACTCAAATATCTTTCAGAAACCATTAAACCTTTAGAAATGTTTTATGATAACATTACACCCATTTTTGAACTCTGCATCTTAAATTCCCAGTGGAAGGAAAAAAGACTTACAGAATGTTTATAGGAAACGTAGGTCTAAAGATGAAAAAGGAAGGTTTGTGGGGAAAAAGGCAAAATTTTAAAAATATGCCCAATGAGTTTGCTGTGTTTTGTACAAACAGTGTTTCATGATTTGGAAGGTAAAGTTACACATGGATTTTCAATGTTGTACAGTATACCACCCACCATTAAAAGCTTTCATTCACCTAGCAAGCAATGCCTTACTGAGCTATTATTGATGCCTTTGCTTTATGTTTTAAGGCTAACTGCCAAATTAGTTTAACATGCCAAGAAGTGCAATATTTATAGTCATAATGACCTAGTTCAGACATCTGACTGTTATAAAATGGAATATTTATAAACATTACGATGAAAAAAAAAAACTGAACGCAGGTTAAAATTTTAATTGGACAAATGTTTCCACAGTAAGCATAACTTCGTTCCTTGCATGTATACTTCATGTCTGAACCCTTCATGACATCCTCTCTGTGCCTCATTATATAATCTCTGTGACTCCCTTCTGAGTGTGTGTCTAGACTATAGGGGATTTTCCAAAAAAACTTCATCTACGTCCACATTGCAATCGCTTTCTTTTGAGAGAATATCAAAAGAACACAGTGGTTTTTCCGACATTAGTAAACTTCATTCTATGAGGAAGAACGCCTTTTCCGAAAGAGCTCTTTCACAAAAAGGTGCGTGTGGCTTCAAAAGGGGGAGTTTTTTCGAAAGAGGAGGCCTCCAGGAAAAAGCACAGGTTCCCTGGTGGCCATTCCGCCCATAGTAATCACAGTTTACATGCAAGAGAGCATCCAATGTGTGTGGACGCTCTCTTTTGGAAGAAGTTTTTTCGGACGATCTCTTCCGAAAAAGCTTGTTTTGAAAGAAGCTTGCCATCTAGACATTCCCTGATAGAAAGAGAAGTGAGTATTTTGGGGACCCTGTGGATATAGCTGCGTCATTGATGGCCGATGGCAAAGATCCGGCTGGGGACGGAGTCCTGCAGTTATTTTTTGCTGGAATATATGCTGAAAGACTTCCCGTTTCATTTAATTTCTGCTTCCTCAAACAAAAGGCCCACTGTATCCCTCTATTGCTTGGTAATGGGACACTTGAGTCTGCCTTTACGAAGCAGCTCCCTGGGTTTATAAGCACCTTTGTGATGCTACGTTTGTGGATGTTGTCTGATGTGGGGCACTACAGACTCACTGTGCATCTGATCCATGGCCTCCTTCCCCTGTCAGCCAGTCTGTGATACCCTTCTACTAGTTAAGTCCACCCGCGTTATGTTGCCCCTTGAAATATCCATAATTGTTGTTCGCCATTAGAAAGTTTGTCACGTCAGAGTGTAAGAACTGGCAAGTGCCCATGCCGATGCTGCAATTATTTCTACATTGGCGGCTCTGCAGAAGCTGTCGTCATTGGTTGGTTGGTTGGGGTTGTTGGGTATTTTTTTTTTTTTTTTTTGAATGACAGGGAACGTACACTTTTAGAAAAGATTGAAGTGGCAACGTAACTGCTTCATTGAATTGCCAGAATTTCTCTCTGTTGGTTTGTCCATCTGTTTCGCTAACATTAAAGTGAACACAGATCATTTTGGTAACTTTCGGAATAGTTAGTTTTCCATTGGAACAAATGGAGCAGGAACCGGCGATGGGTTTTTTCAGCACGCTGGAGATGTCTCTCGTACAAAAGTCACCAAACCTGTGCATTTCAGACAAGAGAACCGAGTCCTAGAATGCAGCAGCGGTGGAAACTAATGGCGTTCCCTTTCATCCGTTGGCACATTCGCCTTTGTGTCCCTTGCTTTATAACTGTTGAGCACTGTTTCTGTGTGCTATTAGATACGTGGCATGGCCCAATCCAGCGGAGGACACCTGTTAGTGACCGCTCACGTAGTCATCCAGCTGTGTAACTTGTGAGCTGCTTTGGGCTTCCGTGGGACGAATAACTAAAAACCGATTGGTTTTGCAGGAAGCGATACGAAAAGGCCGAGGCCGAGTATGTAGCAGCAAAGCTGGATCTCCAACGGAAGACTGAGCTGAAGGAGCGTCTCACGGAGCATCTGTGTACCATCATACAGCAGAATGAACTGCGTAAGGCCAAGAAGCTGGAGGAGTTGATGAAGCAGCTGGAAGTGGAGGCAGATGAAGAAAATCTGGAACTGGAGATTGAGGTGGAGCGGATGCTGCAGCATCAGGAGGCAGAAGCTGGGAGACAGGCTCAGAATCTGCCCCCGACTGCCGAGGAAGCGGCTGCTCTGTGTGCGGCTGCGGCGGAAAAGGAGCAGGCGGGTGCTGTTCTGGAACACTTAGTGGAGCTACCTGGACATGCCTGTAGCAAATCACTTTCAAATACAGGTAGCTCAGATCAGTCGGTAAACACTACTGGGGAGGAAAGCACAGCTCACTCTGATACGCTACTATTGCATGCCAAGAAGGTAGCCTCTGATGGATGATATACTTGATTTGCTGCCGCCGTAAGGCTTTTGCAGCGCCAGAACATACTTCTCTTACGTTATTTCTATTTGTAATTTCATTTAAAATAACCATTTTTAGTGATCTGTCAAAATCTTTCTTTCTGGGCCACCTGTCTCTCCTATTTTGTATTTTTAGGTCTGTTCATCCCCGGATTTGCTCACTCTTTATGGTGCTTTGTGAGATTGGGGCTTGCTAGAAGGGGGTACAAAGAAGCGGGCCACAGTGGAGACTAGTTTTGTGTGAGTGAAGATTCCGAGCTAACCATTCCGGACATCAAATCAGGAAATGGAGATGCTGGTTTTCTTGAGCAGATGTCGTAAAGATGAGACTTTATTATAGATACATACAGTAATAAGACATTTCCGGGGTGTCTGCAAATTTCATTTAACCCTGTCTGGGTTTCAGAGACATCCTTGTCGATGGTAGTTCATTCTGTAGAGAATTAAAAATAAATTTAGAAATGCATGTTACTATCAAGGTCAAGTTGGCTCTAATATTTCCTATTTATAACTCTGATGTCTATTTTTTTTTTTTTTTACAAATGATTGTAAAATTCTCAATATCTGGTCTTTGGCATCTGTTTTGTGCAATTACAGCATGAAATATGTTACAAAAGTATCAGCTTAGTATATGGTAGAAAGAAACACTACACTAGAGATCAGGCTAGTATTGAAACAAATGTGGTTACAAATATTTGTCTCCTTTTCAATAATGTCATATCTGCCTTAAATCCCCAGAAATCAAAGTAGTGATAAAATAATGAATAACCCCAAAATAAATGAGAACTAAGCCCTTCCATACATCATATAATGTTCATTAAATTACAGCTACTATACTTCCTTGTCTTAAGGGTGGGGGTGTATAACCCCAGCAGGATCTGTTTATTTGCCCACTTACTGGTTTCAAAGGGCTTTTAAAAATCATTCCAGATGGGGAAAGACAAAGGAATACAATTCTGATTTTTGTGATGACCTCTTGGAGGGAGGTGGTTAGCAGAAATCCTGTGGTGCCATCCATGAACCACAGCAATTTTCATATTTTCTCTGCGACACAATCTGCAGCTTTCTTTCACTCTGGAAATGTTAACAGTTTCTCTAATATGGAACGTTTGTGTATCACAGTTTGACGATCCCTGGAGTGACCCCACCAAACACGATTATTAGGGACCAATTAACGACTCAGTCGTTGAAAACATGACACTTTGTTTTCAATTTTTATTCTAAAAATAAATGAATGCATCTTCTATGTGGCTAGTTTGCTTTCCATTATAGTATATGGTGTTTAATACACATTGTTAGCGGTTTGGCTGCGTATGTGTTTCCTTTGTGTGCTGCCAGGCCTGTACAGACAGCTGGCATGGCAGACCTCGAGTGAATGACCACAAGATCCGTTAAGGGACGAAGGCACCTGGCCAGATTGATGTTGATAAACACAGTCCTACCATCCCACAGACTCTACCGGACCATTAATACATGTATGTCTGTAACAATGGACCAGCTCAGAAAATTTTTCTTTTATCCCTAAGCCAGGCAAAGATTTTCTCTCCGAGACACACTTTTATGCCCCGCTCCAAACAAATTAGTACTGCCCTTCTGACACAGGTACTGCCTCCTGATGTGTCTAGTAATTACTCATCACCTTGTACATGATGGTTTGATTAAAACATTTTTATTACGTACTGTTATCTGGACTTTATCTTTTAGGAGGGGCCAGTTTATTCCTCTTGTGCTTGGGGAATGGTTTTGTACCGTCGTTGCAATTGGAATGTGTTTGCCGAAGTATTCTGTGACTCGCAGTTTTTTTAGGAAAGTGTGTTTTTTGCAAAATTAGCCCTGTTCTTGCCAGATTTCTGTGAGCAGGCTCCGCCTCATACCAGGCCTCTGATACAAGGGCTTATGATTCAAGCTCTCTTCCTGTTACACATGTTCAAGAGATGGGACAAGAATAGGTTCTTGAATAATCATGTAGCAAGCTTGAAAGCTACATCCTTGGGCAGCCTGTCTCTGCATACAACCAACACCCCAAAGATGTCTCTTCCAAACAAAGAAGGGTAAAATAGCCTTGGTGAGCTATATCCTGTAACATAGAACTTCAACTAACCGCAGTCCATTTTGCAAAACCCCTGCCCAGATCTATGACAAGCACTCGAAATAGAGAGAAACAAGCCCACGTGTTTTAGTTAAAAGTTGTATCTCTGATTATACAATGTGAATGTTATGGAGGAAAAACCCTCATTTAAAATCTGACCTGTGCTGCTGATACTACAGTAACTTCATTTCTCTAGAAATGACTTGACCCGGATTGTTTTGCCGTGGGAGGGAGGAGTTTAAATGTGTTACCAAAATTGCCTAATCCTATTTGGTTACCAACTTCTTAGGTACAGTGAATAGATCCTCATCTAATCAGAGAGCCGAAACAATGACATCTGCCTGAAATTATCTGATTGCACAAAGACAATAATGAATAAGAAGTGCTCACTGTGAGCACAGCGTGTGAGCATCTGATAGACAGAAATGTATCTGTAAAATGATCATCCAATAGTTGCAACAGAGAACAATTCAAAAAAGAAAAAGCCGGCCAGATTTATCAATTGAGGAGATTTTTAAGAGTGACTCAGAGTTCTAAAGCACAAGTGCTATCGAAAGCCATTCCTCTGGAATGAACAATCTTCTATCCAGCCGAAGTGTCTGAACAACAGAGCCCACGGTGCCATACGGACATAATACTGAGGATTTTTACTGTGTCCAAGAACTTAGGGTTCTTTCTGAATCAGTGCCAATTTCTGTTATACGGAGGATTTCTTTGTTAGTTTGTTCCTTTTCCCCTCCCCATCTAAATTCTGACCAAGTTTATCTCTAACAAAACATGTAGATACTGCTGTAAGATGCTGCTAAACTATTGGTTGTTTTTTAAGTTTTTCCAGTTACCGATAAACTTGAGTGGGGTAGCTGTGTTAATCTCTGTTTAGCTTCTGAGAATGCAAAATGAAGTGATCTGAGTGGAAGCCGGGGGTGGGGAGATTTGAAATGCAAACAGAGACGTTTTCATCCTTTTTCTCTGCAGGAAAGAGTTAAATTGTTTTTCTCTTGCTTGCAGAGCTCTTCTGTGGCATGCGATATAAAACATTACAAGTGTCACTTCCAATTTAGCTGACACAGCTTAAGTAGTTCACAAATATTTTGATGGATGCCAGTCTGACCGGTTTAAATTCTCCCCCTGCAAGAATTAAGCAGTCCAATCATAACAATATGTCCATCGGTCAGAAGAGCCAAGCGATAGTTTGGCGGAACCAAAATACTTTCTCCTCAGAGGAAATGAAACCATTGAATCAAGCAAATATTCCTAGTTTCATCGTTAAGGGGTCCATAGGCCTTGAAAGTGAGTCAGTTTAACGATTTGTGATGTTGACATCTGAAATGTCGAGGGGAAGGGGGTTGTAACCACTAGAGTCCTGACCCAAAAGGCTGTCAATGGACTGGTCTAATACTGATAAAATATTATCAAAATGGTCATATTTTAAAGCACTAATTTATAGAACAGTAACAAAACAAGGGTATGACTTTATGGCGTAGAATTAGTCTCCTGTGGGACTTTTTTTTTAATGCCTGTTAGAGTGCGTACTCCCCACCGTGCCTCAGTGACCCTCCGACTGTCTTCATCTAGCCCATCTCAGGGCAAGCTGCAGTCTGTACGGGCCGCTCATCACCGGCACCGGGTGTATCTCTGCTGCCCCGCTTACCTGGGCTGCGTTGCTACCACCCTCCAAGCCCCGGGCCTTGCCCCAGGCCCTGCAGCCAGGGAGCCCGTTAGCCAGCACTCCGCTAGCCCTTCCTGGCTGCCCCAATACTGTTCTCCCTCCTGGGAGCCTCCTGCTTCCTCCACTGCCAGTTCTTCACTGCTCTTCTCCCTCCCTTCTTCTTTATAGAGCCCCTAGCTGGGCTATCATTAGCCCTAAGGGCCTTAGCCGAGTCTTCGCTTTCAGCCCCTGCTCTGGGCCTGAGTTTTGCCCTGAAAGGGCCCTGTCACACGCCCTCCTTTTTGGACCGGGCTTCCCTTCCCCTGCCGGCCCCCATTCTGGGCCTCTTGTGTACTTTCCCTCTGGACCTGGTCCCCCCTCAGGGCCCTGGCTATCCTCGGATTTGCCCTAGCTGCCTCTGAGCATGCGCAGCAGAGTTGGCGTGACGGCCGGCGGGCTCCCCAGAGAGTCACCACGCCGCTGTCGGTGCGGGGCGACAATGCCCCCTCACTATGCCTAATTCCAAAAAGCAGGTTATTTGACTCAAAAATGTGAACACACAGTGAAATGAAGCTCTAAAAAATTGGGGGCTGGGGAGAATGGCTCCATGAGGCAATCGAAAAGGTAGGCTACTGCCGACGTCAGGGCATTCGTGGTGGAATATTTGGCTGCGGTCAAATAATTGGGCCTGGCAAGCCTGTCAGCCGACTGCCTATGTGGGGTATTGTTTCAGGTCTGATTCAGAGAGAGGAATGCTACTTACTCTATGACCAATAATGTGGTGGGTTTTTGCCTGGCTCCCATCCGATTCCTGAGTCAGCAGCCCCGTGCTTAGTTTATAAGACCCAAAGAACTTTCTGCCTGAGGTGACAGTTTCAGAGAAGATTTCAGTTCTACAAAGAGATACACTTCCTCCGAAAACGGTCCAAAATACCGTGCTGCCCTTTCTACAAACCTTTCCCGCATCCTGCAGGGTAAGAAAGGAGGTCAGGCTCAGGGCTGACGAAAAGTCCCTTTTGGCCTGTAAGCGTGAAGAGGGCTTTCCAGCTCATGGTGGGTGAGGGAGCCAGCAGCAGTAATATGGCTGGTTTAGGCCTCCAGCTACTTATCTCTGCAAATGGGAACGGGACAAAAGGTACCTACAAGAAGAGGACTCTCCCCTGGGGGATTCAGTAGCCACAAAGGCACAGAACTTCAGCGACGTAGGCAGCTCATGAAATCAATGAGCGTTAAGCACCTAACCTTGAAGGATCTGGGCCCAAGCTTAGAAAGTAAGCCACGGGGCAACGTCAGTCTGCCTGCGTTCCAGGGCTGCCTTTTCTCCTTCGTCTCCTGCTTGGTCCAATAGAATCGACACCCTAAGATCTCTCTTGTCCCTAAACCTTATGGGAAGCAATAGGTTAAAAGGGATTTAATGTGGATTAAGGGCCTTGGGGGAGATTCTTGCTTAATTATGAATGGGTTTAGCAGAAGTTTATCATCTATCTATGGTATTTATCTCTACTCTAGTAGTGTCATATCCGAGTGACACACAATCTTCAGTGTATTTAGTCTCATAAGACCGTTCCATTGTCACTACCCATTCAGGTCTACCAGCTCTTTTGTTTCCACATTTACTAGTCTGGAGTCTGTCACCCCCACTGACTTCTTCACACAGTTGTGGGAGATGGAAACTTGCTAGTAAAATATCAAACAGGCAGTTCTCTACCAGCTCCTGTGACTAACTGGATGAAATTCC